AAATTACGATAAACGAAGTACTCAACGAAGTGTAACAATTCTAACTCCTTGAGCCAAACATCATTCGATGTTTGTTTTCCGTGTGACGAGCGTAGTAAGTATTTATGGAGAGTAAAATTGACAAATAAGACTATCAAAAAAAGCATTATCCTTATTCATTTCGTTTCCTATCATGTATATTATTTCCGTAAATTGAAAATAAAATACAACGATTCGTTTTTTTTTTCTACACATCAACGGTGTATCGGCAAATCTATCCAGTAGGCTAAGGCTGAAGGCCTAAGAGCGCGATCATATTTGCGCCTTGCATTGCCGTCCAATGTGACCGTTTTGCTTTGGAGGTCCCTTATAGGTGGGGCATAAATGTGCGAGCATGGAAAGTCTAAGATTGGCAAGAAAAGCAGAGAGCTTAAACAGAACTGGCGAGCAAAAAGAAATTAAAGAGAACAAGCTCTTCTGACGTTCACACTAAAGAAGGTGCTCAGTTTCAGCTGCTATGCTAGACTTCGATTGCGTAGTCTGGTAACGATGATGTAGCTCAAATCTCAGTCAGTCTCTAGTAATACTCTACATCGATTGAAAGAAAAGTGTTGGTGTAGGGTTGTAACCGATGTACAGATGCTTAGAAAACTGCCCTTTGCCAGCCATTTCAAAAACGTATATCAATAGAAAATAGGACAGGAGCTCGAGTCAGTAGTAAATAAGGTGATAAGGTTCACTTGTGCATTCACCAAAAATAAAGACATAACGACGTGCGCACACATATATATATATGTGCATGTTTTACTATTATACCCATAGACATACATGAGATTAGCGAAGGGTGATGATTCGTACGAGGGTAATGATTGATTACTGCTGCCTTTCAGTGCCTTTTTTTAATGTTTTCATGACTTCGTGTACCCGTTTGACCATCAAAAAGGACCTTTGCCTGAGTCATCACCTGAGTACATTTGTTTTCGTATCGTTTTGCTTCGCCAATTGAAATGACATCGTCATATTTTATTTAATGATCTATAACTCTGCAACAGTGGACAACTTGGCATACGAAATTTTTCGGCACTTTTAAGATCATGGTTCTACTTGTTTCCTGGACGGCGTTCCGCAGTGTATCTGATCAAAGGAAGAACGTATTTTCTATTCAGTTATATAGACAGTCTGGAATATTGAAGAACAAATATTCGCTTTTTCCAGCCTGCTTTTCGTGTAGCAATATCTACCATTTGAGTCGGGTAATCGTCTTCAGAGAAGTGGTCTATATGTACGCCTAGATCTCCCGTAACAAGCTTCATTTTAATAAGCTCTACCCAAAGTAATAGTCAAAAGCTTGATGTTGATTCTCAAAATCCAATAGGGTGCATATGAGCACCACCAGTTTAGGGCCAACACTAAGAAACCGCTCTCAGGAACTTTCTAACGGCTTCTGGAAAACAACATTCACTGTTCATTTTTGACTATTATATACTCTTCCACATCGTTAGCGCCAACTTTACGTTTTTTACAAAGCATATAATGCTTCATTAGATCACTGAGCGTACAATGTATACGAAAATGGGTTAATAATTGTCTCCTAAGAAACAAAATGTATGGTGAGAATAATAAAGAGACTATCAATAACTTCTAGAATTTAAAGATTCCTAGGTTTCCTAGATTCCTAGGATTCCTTTCCGATTCATTAGAGCCTTCCTTACACCATATTTCTGTATAGTGTAGAGAAGCTTGTCATGAGTGTCCGTTTCGAGAGCAGATTTAAAATCAAAGGATCGTAAAAAATTATTGTTGACCACAAGAGCGCACTCGTTTTACGCCTCTAAGAGTTGCATGACAGATGAACATTTCTACTAGTAGGCCAGTTGCCCTGCAAGGATTACACCTTACCTAACTAAATTAACGTAGATGACACAGAAGATTATACGAGTTCGCACGGGATCGAAGTGAGAACAACCGTACCTCTAGTGGATGGATTGTTTGCATCCCTATGTTTATCGACCAGTCTGACGATGGCAGTTCGAAGTAGGCTGAAGCTGCCCCGTTCTCAAGCGAGTATCGTAAGGTTAGAGATAGCGGTTTCGAGACAGCACTTCGGCATTTATTGAAAACATAGGCGAACAATGCTTCTGGTGTTTTTATCCATCTCTTTTCATAAGCAGCGTTCGACAATGACTGGCAACGCGTTAACGTCGTGAACGCAAAGCATGTCATTTAAAACATCGATTTATGGTAAGAAGCGGGCAACGCGCTAGGTCTTCTTGTGCGATGGATCCGCAGCAGCGTAGATGATATGAAGGACATATGTATTATCAGGATCGGCCGCCACCATTCTATCCTATATTCTGAGCAAGATTGGTGTTATCTTTAGCCTAAGGCTGGGATGAGTTTCGGTCTTAAACGATGTAGCTGTCTCCAGTGGTACAATTTCTGGCCAGCATCCTCTGCAGCGTCCTCTGAAGAATGGCTTGTGCTTCGTCATCACGTTCTGTTGTAAGTTCACAGGAAATGCATTTAATCTGGCCGTCTGTCGTACCGTAACTATTAAAGTTTCTATTGGAATGAAGAGTTCTTGAAGGGATATGATACACTGAACAATGTATTCGCACATGATGTCTGTATCATGGCAATTGGGGAACAATGCATTTCTCTGTAGATACGGGAACTGCTATTACGAGATACATTGAGGTTCGACGCTATCTAATAAGATCGTTAGCAAAAGCAGTACATGACCAGTCGTTTCCAGACGCTAAAAAATTCTCTTCGTGGTCTTCTAAACGTGGCCTTATCGAATAAATAGCTGCAACAGTAACATTGAAAAGACACGACTTATGATGATCAACTTATATAAAGACTGTTAGATTCCTAACGTTACACTGAGCTTGTTGAGCTAAGGTCGAAGCATATTTCTGTTACGCGATCTCCTGAAACATACGTTGATTCCGCAAAAATTGACTCCATATGAAGTGCTTCTTAAAGAAGCTCGTTCTCCCGTTTGACCTTCGCTGTGATCCTCAAAGTTTCATTTATGCAGATTTCAACAATATATGTCGCTTCAATAATCTTTGCAGTGGTAAACGCAATGGAATGATTGATGACATTTGAATATGAGGTGTGCTAGAGAAGTCATTTTCAACATTCGAAACCTATGCCCATGGAAAAAGCTTTTTAAACTGTTTAATCACAATTGACTACACACTTGAACGAAGACGGGCGTTCGTTCATACACAGCCTTCGTCAGAATCGAAATTTAGCGTGACATAAAGATTCTCTCGATGTACAGGCGGAGTGATACAATTAACATTGTAATAGATCCCCCTAGCTTTTCCGTACAGCTTTTTACTCTGTTCAACTCTACTTGTCCGGCTTTGTTGTCGGAATCGGCAAGGCCTATTCACCCAGCGTCGGTCATCATTACCGACTACATTAAGCGCACAGTTCGTACTTAAGTTGAATCTCATTTGTCTACGGACACATGTGGACGGACGCGGCCATTCTACACGATAAAACACCGAAATATTTCTAGCAAATAACAAAAGCCGCTATAGCACATTTATATCGATGCCTAGCACACTGCAAAGGAAAGTTCAAATAAATCTTTGGAGATATATTGCTGGCGGTATGGGAGAATGGCAGGCCCTTACGTATGAAATAGCAGAAGTCCTCACTGGAAGTGCTAGCCGACGAGCGGAATGACTCATTGCCAGTAGAACAGAACACACGTATCGACTTTGTTATGAAGATAGGTAGAATAGGACATTGGGGATACCGCATGATGAATTACGCTGATCTACCCTATAAACGCAACAGCAGATACGCTCTTACACAATGAGTAATCAATGTACAATAATAGCATACGGGACCGTATGATATTATATGTACGCGTATGCTTCGAATTTTACGTCCAAATCCGCTCCTATACAGCTTTATACTCGAGCGCGGGGAACAAAAAAACAGATCACATTCGGATTCTAAGGAATATATCAATTTCAATGACAAAGGCGTAAAAGCTGCGCTTTTCAAACGATACCGTGTCATCGTAAAAAAAAAAAGCGTTATATATTAAAACAACGCCCCGGTTGCTTAGTGGTAATCCCTATTGGCTCAATGTTAAATGATATAACGCATATTAAGCACTCGATTTTGTTAAGGTCCGCTTATACCCTCATACACTGTTTGATAGTAGTAGGTTAAACCTGTTTCAGCGAAAAGAGAGAACACGCTTTGCGTTACGTTTTACGCATTACGCAGGAATATATTACTACACTATTTTTACGTATTCTAATCCATTATTAAATCACATACATAGAAATATTTTAGAGTATAAAAGCCGCCAATTGAACATGTGTTTTTTACTTTTTTTTTGCCAGTTTGAGTAAAAGTAGGCTTGTAATTTCGTATAGTCAGTAAAAAAAAAGAAGGCGGCGTACAATTAGGAACATTATTAAAAATAAAACCTAAACAAATTATAAGCACATAGCGATTATGAAAGTGTGTTTATTGCTCTTCTGTGCGTCACAATGCCAACTATTCATCGACGCATAAATTAAGGCTAACGGGTTCGTGATAGGAGTTTTCTATTACTTTCAATTTGTTCACAAAGGTAAATATTCCGGGCTTTATATCCAGACTGCGTAAGAGTATTATGAGAGACCTTCGCATGTCTCACCTATTCGTGGTTCCATTTAGTCCATCACATCTTTCAGCTCCAATGCATAGCAATTATAGGTAAGATTTCCAGCTCTTCTGACGCATATGAGAACACACAATTACATTAAATAATAACACATAAAACATAAGTACCAGATCCACCGCGAAGAAAAGCTATGATCTTTGTAGAGGCTATATCGTTGCACCGGGGAAAAACCACTTATCGATAAACACCTGCTTTTATGATAGATATGTGCTTAAATGCGGCATTTGTAAATCGAGTTCCTATTTTTTTAGAATTATGCAAAACTTACTGGCCTTACTTCTCTGTATTCATTTTCTGTTCACATGCGTTACTTCAGCGATAGGGTGTTGGTGCTTTTCCAAAGCATGAAGAAGGTACGCTAGAGGCGATGAGGGGACCTCCACTCGTTTATGCCCAACTCCTGCCGATACTACTTCAGCCTCCGTTTGTTACCATGCATAAACAACTATGGATGGTGACTGGGGTTCCGGCAAATAATGCTAACAGGGAGAAAAGCCATAAAGGTTTGTATGAAATGGTACGTATAGGTAAAACGGTGCAGTGGGAAGCGGAATTTGTTCGGATCCATAAGCGTACGGTCGTACGTTTCGTTGTTGTCAGATCGTTCTAGAGCATGGCCCCAGCTAGTTCTGCTGCTGGAATTATCATGAGCGACCGGCAGTTTTTTTTTTTTGCATTGCTATTGCAGATGTGCCTACGATTCAGGCCGTACACGGTTCGCATGCATATCTGCCATGCGATATCGAAGTGCCTCTCAGAGCTGACGATATGGGTGCGCGTGGAGAAGGAGCTCTTACTCTTATTCTCTGGTATCATGGCGACGGGTACTCAAGAAGTGCTACACCAATCTTCTCAGTGGATGCTATTGATCAGCCACTCTCAAAAGCGACACTCACACCGTACGCTGAGTTCATTAACCGCTCATACTTTTATGTACTTATGCGTCCACCTGCGCTCAAAATAGAGCCTGTCTTTGAATCTGATGCTGGCCAGTACCGCTGTCGGGCAGACTACAAAAATAGGCCCTCACAAAACCGATTTATTCACTTAAACGTTGTTGGTAAGTGAGCCGGCCTCGAAGCAAAATCATCATCGGGATTCAGCACAAACTAACTGAAAAATTTACATTATTTTTAGCAGCGCCGGCACAATAACGTCACACAGATGCATGGGATGAAACGAAAGTTATTAGAATACTTCAATATAATGTTTTCAGTGGTACATAAAACTCGGTATAATTCTTTCATTCATCATTTACTATCAACTCCTATCTGATATTTATAGACACTTTATTTGTATGACAAAACATAGCGGCATTATAACGAGATGTTCACTTTAAGTTCCCATTTTAAGATAGTTAAATCTAGATCAAGTACCTGTGTTATCCTATTGTCTTTTTCTCTACTGAAGAGATAATATATATATATATACGTATGTATAAATATGTGTGTGTCCTATTATAGAAGCAAGCGTTTTTTTCAGGCCTCATTGTATACATTGAGCATATTACAAATCAAGCCATCCGTTTATTTTGCAGTACCTCCCAGTGAAGTCCGTATCCGAGATCAGAAAGGCAAGACCCTAACAGGCTTTATTGGTCCATTTGACGAGGGTGCCTCACTAGTCGTCACCTGTGAAGCCATCGATGGTAAACGACACTGATTTTGAATTGAATAATTTCTATTCATTTGTTCGAATGTTATTTTCATGCCGACACAGATTGGGCTAGGATTTGGGGCGCATAGTGAAGTTTATTGATTTGTGCCTAACGTTCTACTCAATCAATAATCTAATTTGCCACAACTGAGGTGGGGGCATCCACTGATTTTAATATGCTGCTTGCTACCCTTATATTTTTTATTTATCACCCACTATAGCTCTAGCCAACAGTAAGATTTACTGAAATCGGCGTGTTTCAATCATCGCTACGGGCTTGGATATGTAGATAGTAACCCATTCGTGTTTGACAGCACAATGTAAGTATTCTGCTTTTGAGGAACAAGCTAATTCACGAAATACTTGAAAAAAAAAACTTTTCTCTAATAACTTCTGAATTGATAATATGAGATAAATACATCTAGGCAAAGCAAAATAGCAGGTAGTAGACACTTCAAGAACGACCTTTTAATAGGTGCCAGTCACAGCAAGATCAAATGCAAAGTAGTTATTTGACCTTTTAGAACCTTACACGCGGGGGCTTTTTAATGCTTGTTAACTGTCGATACCAACTGTTGTTTCTGGCACGCATGAGAGCATTATCGGCCATTAAATAGGCTCCGCAGCAGAACTGTCGTGTGTATCGTGCACGCCAGCGCCTATCTACCTACTCTTAGCATGTTTGTGCTGCGTACACAGGCACATGCAGAAATGCTATGGTGTATCATAATTGATGCTTGATAACGACGATTTATGATCTCTGTTCTCCAAATTGTCTCGACTCCACACAATAACAAAATGATTAGAAACGAAAGTAACAGAAGACAAAAGAAGTCATAGAAAAATTGCCTTACATCTAGAGAAATATCCGTTGGTATTTTTTTACATTATTAAGGCCAAATGTAGACACTTCAACGTTGGTAGCACAACTTATTCTTTTTTTTTCCAGCAAAACCCCGCGCCCGCGTATCGTGGTATTCAGACGGGAAGCTGATTCACGATTCAGACGTACTAGTACCCAACCATCCTCGCAGACTTGTTACTAACGAGCTTACCATTAAGCGACTGGATCGGAGTCACCTTCATGCTACGTTCGTATGTCATGCTCAGAACGAAGACAAGAGTGAGCGGAAAGTCTCTCGTGAAAATAATTATCTATCAGCTACGATACCAACTACCCTACGAACAGCAAACATTACCATTGATATGAATCGTAAGTTTATAGATAAATATTTTGATACAAAAACACTGTGCTATGAAAATAACGTTAAAGCTCACTTTGGTGTTGCATCGTTAGCATAACACGAGAGATCAGAGGGCCGCGGGCGTTTGCGTAACTAGAGCTTTGGTAGCTGAGTAAATTCGATCTCAGCATCTGAATTGCTACTAGATTGTGACAAAAGCTTACTTGATTAGCACCTCGGACATACTTTGTCGTAATCCTACAAGATACTTAGAAGTTAGAACAAAACGGTAATTATATTAACCTCAAAAAAATGTTTAACTATTTGCCTTCTTAATGATGGACGAAGTGGAAGGCGAAATAAAGCCGGCATATTGAAAGCTTCTGGGTAAGAGTAACTTGTTGCACAGAGGAGGTAGCGAAATTTTCAGGAAGGCTGATCTTGCAACGTCCGCTTTTTTGTAGTTCCACCACTGGAAATACGGATCAATCGGATTCGCCAGCCTCTCTCAACAAAAAGGCGTACCGAAGCAACTTGCACATCGGTGGGGGGAAGGCCACATCCGCAATTGACCTGGTGGATTAACAACAAGAAGCTCAACGTGTTGAGAGAGAGCGGCGTTTTTGGTTAGTAAATTACAATTATCACATACCCTAACTTGGATAATAGCTAACTGGAATCCATTCCTTACCATCTATATACACATTTATCTAGGCTTGACTTTATTTCACACTATTACCCTTCTAACTGTTACGCTATAGCGTTTATTCGAAAATATTAACTACAATTAATACATTGAAGCATCTTAACTGAAACCGCAGCCTAAACTATAATAGATTTGAGCCATTTTGGAAGCCTCCGTTCAGTCGAGCTAAGCAAAATTTGTTCGCAGGGAACAACTTTACAACAAACACGGTATCGTTTCTACCAACCGTGGACGATGACAGAAAATATCTATCATGTCGCGCAGAAGGTAACCCGCTATTACCGGAAACTCCGTTTGAGGATAGTTTCCTCTTAAACGTTCAATGTGAGTACTTTTTATCGTATCACACGGTAAAATACACTCTTATTCTCTGCTCGAAGACAGTTAAACGCTATGTGCATTTAAAAATTAGCACATAAATCATTTATTCAGGGTTAAATTGGTATTGTACGCGTGTGTTTAAATCGATAAAGCCTATGTTTTTTATAGGCCGTATTTTGTTTATTGAAAGAGATGACTTTCCCGCACTGCTGGGCTTGCCTTGTTTTATATTATTGTTGTTATAACATTGTTGTTATAGTTATATGTACGGCTATCGTGCGAGATCACTAAAAGTAACGATTAGGGGTGCCCCCTTTTCCCATAATAATTTTTCCCCCTATGCACATAACGCGAAAGAAACGATATCCATTCGTAAGCGGTTATCACAAGGCTTATTATAGTTGCTACTATTGTGGATTCCTGCTGTGCGAACAACCATTCCGATAGCCATTTTTAAAGAGCTTTCTCACAATCTGATTGGAACAATAGTAGAGGGCACAATCGCGTTGACTCCGGCAACAGGTCCGCAAAAGGGCCCTGTTTACATGATGAATCCATTTGTAGAGCTACATACTAAGCCTACTGGCTGAAATAATATGACGGCATATCGCGTCACAAAACCATCCGGCTTACTTCTGAATATATATTATTGTAAAGTTTTTTTTCGAGTTGTTAATAGCTACGTGAAAAAAAAAAGATACGAAAAGCAATTAAAAAGCGTATTAAAGCGTGGCTGTACGAACCGCTTTTCAGTTGAAAGCACATGCCGACAACGACCCGGGTTGTATACAGCTGTTGACAGTCAATTGTAACCTTTATAACATATAAACAAATGATTTACGCAGTGATTTGAGTTAAGTACATCGCAGTTGTATATGAGACGCGGTTTTGCCTACGTTGTTCGTTACAGATCCGCCCCAGTTGAATCTAGTTCTAGGTAAACACATGCTGAATGCAACTTCAGTGCGTGAGGGAACTGACGTTTATTTTGACTGCCAAGTTCGGGCTAATCCTGCTGTTACCGAGGTGTTTTGGAAATTTAAGGGGCTTGTCCTAGCCGCCCACGCCCGTCAAGGTAGGCAGAATAAGAGCTGTGTATTACAAACATAGCCATCTAAACGTGACTAGTGCTCGACCCTAGCATGCACACTTTGATCTTCGATGGATTTAGTAGTTTGCGCAAATCGCACTAAGAAACAGTGGACTCGTTCATAATTATGGTCGCAAAAAGGCGTAATCTGCGTAAATCTATCTTCAGGAATCATTATGACGAATCAGTCTCTAGTCCTCCAACAAATCCGTCGCGAAAGCGCAGGCCAATACCAGTGCGTAGCCGCGAATTCTGAAGGCGAAATCGAAAGCAACGAGCTAGAGCTGCGTGTACATTTCGCGCCCGTATGTCGTTCACGGCAAAACCTCGTTTATGGTGTCGCCGTTGATGAAGACGCTGACATACCTTGCAATGTAAGCCAGGTTTATCTAAATGAATAACTGTTGTGTCCTCTCCGTTAAATATTCAAGAATTAGCTAAGCTGCCTTTAGAAAGACCGATAGAGCTAAATTTTCCTTTTAAACGTTTTCCTATTTCTAGTTAGTACTTAGAGTGCATAGTTGTAAGGGTTCATCACATTCTTGAGTCAATAAGTTGATCTAATCCTTTCGTCTATTTGGACTATTTTCGTCATTTTCAAAGGTTGACGCGGACCCCCCACCGACTAAATACACCTGGACACTGAACACCACAAATGTTGCGGACTTTGATGAAAAAGCATTTAGCTTTAATCATACGCGATCGATTGTTACCTATCGGCCAAGATTCGCAAAATCATTTGGTACATTGTTTTGTTGGGCGACTAATGAGGTCGGCAGTCAAGTTCAACCCTGTGCCTACCGCCTGATACCAGCTAGTAAGGTCTTCCAGTTGCACATTCATACTAAGTAGAGAATGGAAGAAGCTATTTCTGGACTTGATATTAAGTTATTGTTTAATTATAAACAGCCAACGAAAGAGTAAGCTATATAAAGAAATCGTTATTCTTACTGTTTTCTCTTCCAATAAGAAGTACAAACAATATATCGTACTTCAATTGGCTGATTTGGAAATGTTGACGACCACACATTAATGGCTAACGAAGCCGTACTTCAATATATAAGCAGAGCGTTCCGTTCTTGACGATTTCCCATAGGCCCCCCGAGTTCAGTGGAGCATTGCATGGCAAGAAACCAGACGGACGACATCGTACTGATAAAGTGCAAACCTGGTGATGCGGGCGGACTGCGGCAGACGTTTCACCTGGAAATCTTCAATGTCGCGGTTGAACATCTCGAGTTGAACTTAACACGAACGGACACGCCAGTGTTCCAGGTACCGAACCTCATTCCGAGCACCAAGTATGTCTTCGTACTCTACGCTTCCAATGCCAAAGGGCGTTCTAGTCCGTAAGTTCAAATTCTATTCTTGCTGGCAATTCTGCATTATTTCGACTAGTTATACGATGCGTGTTTTCGGGTTCGTGTAAACCGTAAGTTATTATTGCAGGATTAGATTGACTGTGACTACGCCAGCCTCGTCTAAAAAGCACTCGTCAGAAGGTACCGGGCTGTTCTCGAGTTTGCTGAAACTCGAACTCGTTCTGTTATTGGCTGTCTTAGCAATTGTCGTTTTATTGATTCTCAGCGTTACGGTTATACTGCAGCGGCGGAGAACGATTAAAGATCACCATCAAGGCATGCGTACGTACTCACAAAGAACCACATAACGGATTTATGCCAAATAAGAAAGAAATATCCTCATTACTTGAAGCCGATTAGTACACAAATTGTCAAAGAATATTTGGCAAACTTATCATGAGAGTTTGCTAACGACCTAGCTATGTGACGGGACGTTCAAATAAGATGGAAAGCTTTAAGTTCATCTATTTCATCTTAATATTATACGCTAAGGTCTGAATAGTATTTTTTCCAGGCTGCGAAATACTGCGAAGACTCATACGTGGGGTAATAGTATTTAAATGCTATCGATGAGGCATAATAGTTGTTATCCATTAGAACCGATAAGGGCGGAACAGAAATTATACTCTGTATGAAAATGATTTAAAATATTCCAGTTTTACAACTGTGCAGTTATTACTTGTTTCGGTCTTCTGCCTAAGTTTACTTCCCAGACTTTGCGGTGTTGTTGAGTTATAGCTAATGTCATAGAGTCGTTTCCTATCCCGTTGCAGATAACCACCCATCTTCGGCAAATTTGAACGATAAGTAAGCATTTATTCCTTACCACTTTGGCCCATGGTAAGTAACGACGCGTATAAACATAGCTACCATATCGCCACTAGTTATGGCATATGGTCTGACAGTTGAAATTGTATTATCGCATTGATCCATGCATTTGCATACGGTTATCGCTATTGTTTTGCTATGTTAATATTACTAATAACAACCTTACTGTATGTGACAGACCGTACAGGCAATACCTGGACCAATGTCGTTGTCCCTGATCAGCATTTGCTTCCCCTTGGAAACAGTCAAAGCCGCTTCTCTAACAAAGGCCCATATCCCTGTCAGATCTCTACGTGGCTAGCCCACACAATACGCGCATTTACCTAGCACAATTTCTCCTGTTGCTCTCTATCCCGCGTGCACCACTCTCATTGAGTGGCCACCGTTTTTGGATGTGGGTCACCATCATGCTGCCCATACAGGCTGTCAACGGACACCATAATCTATTTCTATCTGTGCCTGCCAGCGATGTTTACTCGTACAAGGTAGCCTAGTTCTCTAGACTCCAGCGTCGCCATTTCCCTCAGTCCCCACCCGCCCACACTAGACCTTCGACGAACGAAGGAGAGAGCGGCCTTAGCGGACGCAACTTCCCCGTATTACAGTCTGTATTTGACAACACGTTGGTCTGCACCTCTGTACCTTTCATCTAGTTAAACGCAATGGTTTGCGTCAAACTCCCTTTGACCCGGTCTTTTTCTAATATGTTTCTCTCTCCAGCTCTCTGTGTCTGTCTCGATGCCTTATTTTACTACTACTGCTCTCCTTTTTATTTTGTCCTTTTGTGCACCCTCCCATCTATGATGTTGCTATTACCGTCATTGCAGAAATAGCGGGTCCTGTCGTAGCCTAAAGGCCCCAGTGGCTGATGATCTTCAGCTGACTCAGATGAAGGGCAATCACAACAACAGCAGGGACCCGCCGCAACAGCCGTGCAAACAGCACCTGCTTAGCAGCAAAAGCGGCAGTATCGTGTCGATGACGCTTCCGGACAATAGCAAAGGTAACACAATACAAATGTAGTCAAATGGGCTGTATTACTTAAGATGGTAAAGAAGAAGAGGACAAAAAGGACGCAACATTGAGGCCAAGCAATAAGGACACTGTCTTCGATCCGCGCTACGTGTCTTTGATTTTGATTAGAAATTTCACGTCTACGCCAGCTGTACGCTTTCTATGAATGACACTACGACACTGATATATTTCCAGTCCGACAGATGATCATTGAAGCAGCTGACAACATTTTCATGCTTGGCTGATTTTTGCAGAGCGACATAGAATTGATAATGGAACTTTCAAAGCGGTGCTGGTTCAGCCTCATTTGCTAAATGGCGATCCCTCAGTGAGCTGTCATAGGGGTCTCGTGCTACGTACGCCAACGTTGCAGAACCCGAGACATCCACTCGATCAGTTTGAAAAGGTAACGCTGTGCCTGCATAGGTTGAATAGACCTAATTTTAGCTGTTATTTTCGTTCTTTGTTGGTCAGCTAAGAATAACGGACGACTGGCTTTCCTTTTAAAATTTTCCATGTTACCCCACCGTCCAATTGATCGAGCCGAGGCTTGTATAAAGTATCAGTCCAGCCATTCCTATGGTGGAATAGTATGTTGAAAGATATTCACGTGAACATATGCCACATAATCAACGTCTCTCAAAACAGTACATGTAGAAATTCTAGTTGCCTTATTCAATATCGATACATTTCCGACTTAAACTTTACTTCTGCAGACCTCTTTTCTAACGTCTCTCAAAACAGTACAAGCAGAAGTTCGAGTTACCTTATTCAACATCGGTACGTTTCCAACTTAAACTTTACTGCTACAGACCTCTTTTCTAACGCGTCGCATCTCCCTTGAAAAACGTATCCCGAATTCAATAGCGATTGGGTAGTAATTCAAATGTAAATCCGATGCAAGCAGCGAGCTCCAGAATCCATAGCATTGTTCGAGCTGCTATGTAAAGTACAAGAAACAAGCATGTTCTTTTATAAAGGGCCGGGTTATAAATTCATAGACGATATTTATGTATACCGCGTATATGTACATATATATAATATATGCCCGGCCAATAATACCGACCGAGTTACTTTGATTCATCATCTCAAGGTGGACTTCTCGTTAAGCTGTGAACGAAAGCTGTTATCACCCCTAACGAGGCAGAAACAGAGCGAATCTTGGGCAAGCAGCAGAAATTGCTCCCATCGAAGCTCTCGAGACTGCAGCTGTATACGAGATACGTACCTAGGCCGACCAAGCAGTAGGCAAGGTCTAGCCCCGCTTGTCCGGCTCGACTCCGATGAGGGTGGAAAGGGTAGAGAAGACGACGATACGGGCCCGGAGGAGACGCGGACGCCTTTACTTAAGAGTGTTAGCAGCACGTAAAACTGTGACAGCACGAGGAATAACTAGCTCGCCACGAAGCCTTGTCGCCTGCCTAGCTCGACATCACGTTTAATAGTAGCATAGACCGGTTATCCACGAAGGATAAAGTAATGCCACCTGCTTTTCAAAGCTTCGATAAGAAAAAATCTATATTTCTGATCACCTTATCAGTTTGATTTCAAAACGTTAAGATCAAAAAAAAACAAAATCCGACGTTTGAAAGCCAGGCAATAGAACCTGAATGCAGCCTGCAGGGACAATTTCTAGAACATTAATGCTGTTTAGATCTATATAAGCTTTCAGCCATCGATGAGAACTATCTATTGCAACTAAATAGAGGCAGAGGAAAAGCCAAGAGCATTTGTAAGTGACCTAAAATTGTGCATATGTCCGAATATCGCAGTCATCAAGGTCGGACACGCTCCCGAGCTTTTGTAGATAGTAGCTCTCAAATATTACGCGACGGAATTCTAGTCACGAACGGTTCGCTAACATAACGATGCTAACACACGGTTCTTTTTTTGTGCATAACTACATTAAACTAATAGTACTTTCCTCTTATTGCATTGCCGCTTGCCTGTCGTATCTCACTTATAGTCATTCGAACAGTTCCTTAACCCAAATGCTATAAGCATGTACCCATTCTTGGCTTCTAAGAGCTAAATACTGGACTCGATGATCCCGTTTCCATGATTTTCAACAAGCAAATGTAACGTTTTTTGTATATAGTACATACTATGCACACGGTATTGCAATACATAAGAGTTGTCGGCAGTTTCCACTGTACAGGTGGGTGTTCGAGTGCTAAACCTGAAGGTCCACTTGAAGGTGTGTCAACTTTCCACCTACGCAGAGACATGTAATCGTTGGCCATATTATACCACTATATTTATAGTATTATAGTAGTTCATATATATATATATATATATATATATAGGAATTACTATAGTACTGATCTGATAAAGCAGAACTGTTTGTGTCATGGGTGGAACATGCGTTTTGTATGCGATGTATTTAAAAGATTACTATACCAGAACGCTTTTCCCTCTCATGGAAGCTGGGTGAATAGCAAAGCGAATTACGTACTATTTCCGTTTCATACAGCTTTCACATTCAGCGGTATGCGCCTTTAGAAAAATAATTTTGTTTCGTCTGAAAAACCTATAACGTTTCGAAATTTAGACATTTTATTAACTAGTAGAGGACATCTACGCGGTTTAAATCAGCTTCAAACAATTGTTAAGGAAATTTTGTAAATGCTGCTTAGAATTGGGCAATGAAATGGCCTATAGTTACGTCATGTGATTATTATTAAAAAAAAAAAAAAATATTTAATTTTGGCACACATTTTAAAGCAGCGACCTAGTAGTGCCTAAGATTAGACTGAACTGTATTTTGTTCGCCATCTTAAAGGCGACCAACGGGTTTATTTGCTAAATTTCTGAATTACTTACGAATGCTCTATAGCAACCGTTGATAAAAGGTGTCAGTATCTCGAGCGGCAGCTTCTCGTCGCCACCTTTGCCGTTCTCCTTTCAATGGCGCGAAGTAACAATACCCTTCGTTTTTCGGTAATAACCTCTTCAGAGGAGATGGTTCCACCGCTTGCCGCCTTGCTCTACCATTTCCGTTTTTCTCGTTCGATCACCTTGGTCCTCGTTACAAATCTGGCTTGCCCTTCTCTCCAATTCACGTCCCTGTCCCCCCTTGCCGTCGTCCGAAAGCGACATCCCGAGGACTTCATGCTCTGTTCTTTTCAGTCCTCCTGCAAATCGACCTCCTTGCTTTGCCTCTTTCCCGTCTCGTAAAAATTATGACATACCAACGTAACGCTCGCCGAAATGCCGGCAGGAGCGAGGAAAAGGGACTGAAAGTCGTCCAGCCGATCTTCTTCCCAAAAGCTTCGTCTGCCTATTATCTTATGATCAGCGGCATGCGGGATGAGGTTTTATCTGTTCCTAGCAGGCACTTTCTCTGTCCGATATTCTTCTCTGTCGATGTCGCAATTGCAACGCCAGAAACACCACTGCGGCGGTGCAACGACACCGTTGGCGGCATCGTTGTCAAGGGCTTGTCGAGGGCACTCTCGAATACACGCGTATCAAGGCCTTCTGGCCATCCATCGCCTGACAAAAAGGAACAGCGCGCTGGTGATCCTCGACTGGAGAAAGAAACGCGGCAGGGATCAATGTCTCCCTTTTTCTACGGCCTGAGAGCAGAGTGTATAGACGGACTCTTTAGAGGAAGTTGGTTTTTCTGCTTGGGTAAGGCTATGACTGGTTTGTAGGGAGGCGTTCAAGACGAAGAAAAAAAAAGATATACATTTTTACTTAAGCTACGGGGGTTGCTGAAATGTAAAAAAGGTGAGAGAGGTCGAAGTTACATGAAGCTGGGAACTAGGGTATAAGGGTTTCCATTTGAGAAAGCAGTGTCGACCAGGCATCGGTTTTGGCGAACCATCGCCCGCACAACGCACTCCCGATTCTCCTGCGTTACTTCATACTACGCCAATGTTTGCCAAGGTGGGCCTTAACACGCAATTTTCGCAAGAAACGCGCCCTCCTTGCAGCTAGGAGTTTGGAGGAGCCACATTCCGCCGAGCTATTTCGACAGGCAGGAGGGCCAAATCATAGACATAAAAAAAGACACAAGCTCTATTGCGAACAAGAGTGAACACGATGCTCTACGTTAAAAGCACAAACGGACTATACATTAATATAAAGAATTCTCGTACACAGAAGGATAGCTAGTAATAGATAGAGAAATGTAGATGATGATCACGTGGAGCTTTCTCCAAGTATAACGTACTTAACCAGATGTTTCATAAATTCATTAGCCAAGCAAACTAGTTAAGAGCCACTAAAATATAAAGATATTCAAGCGAAAAAGTTACTAGCATGCATACATGATAAATCAGCAACTTTAAATCCTCGCGGGGTGCTATAGGTATTCCGTTCCAATCCTCTGCTGTTTTGGTATTTTTTGTAAGCTTTATGTAAACGGCCTGAATATATATATATACATGGTGGATAGTTCTCCTCATGCTGTTCTCATGGCCTCTAACATTTCAGGGAGGTGTCATGCCCACGATAGGATCATTTTTGTTTAGAAATGCGGCGCCGTCTTCACAAAAAAAATTTGCGAACAACTTGGCCCTTTTTTTTTTTTTTAATAATCACAAGTTAAATTATGACATCATAATGACTCGAGCAACCCTGGTCTACATGAGTAATTATGATGCCCACATGTTGCAACCAGTACATTTCTTTATTCACTACTTTTTTCGTCTGGGATTGTGTTAAAATTAGATTTTACGTAAAGTAGTCGATAAATCCCGTTAAATTAAAATTAACCCCTTGTTGTCTAGTATGCCGTTCTCCCATGAAAGAGGAAGCTACTGCCCTTGTAAAAATATGCACTAAATGTTAGAAACGAGCTTCTAATACGGTACACTGTACTAGCTGATACTACATACTAAATCTTCTGAATAATATGTGTTTCTCCGCCAATAAAAAAGCTTAACAAGTAATGTTAACCTTAATTTGGTTTACGATCTGCTTAGATATGGAAGCAGTCGTTTGAGTCTGCTACAACATTGCGTCCAGATGAGGTTGCCGGCACGGGACGTGCAAGGAACCTGCCTTAATAGACTGCTAGGAAGGCGTCTTCGTTTTGTAATAGAAACAATATATTATAGCGGGCAGTTTGTATTGAGTGTACACCCGCAGCTAAGAAGAAGTATAGAAAGCTCTAAACCATTTGCCCAGCATGCTTCAACTGGGTTTTTTGTGTTTGGGTTATACATTGAACTTATTAAAGTTTACATTAGCGGGACACCTTTTAACTCGGCTCCTTCTCTACGCAAGAGTCATTAAGGTTAACTAATAAAGTAAAAATAGGAAGTGCCATGATTGAGCAAAGGTAACAGACATAAAAAACAAAGTGTTTTAAAGAAAGAATTTGCCCAATTCAGAATTTAATTGTTCAGATGAGTTCGGACTTTAACAAAGATAATACGTATATATATTTCATCGACATTAATGTATATATTAGACAATCTCTACAAAAACGGATTAAGCACCTTTTACAGAATTTATGTGCAACATGTGTAAAAAATAATCAAACCAACATTGCTGCCATTAAAAGACCTTGCCCTTTTTTCAATTACGTCTTTAAATTAGCGTTATATTTACGTTATGGACGTTAAATCGTTACGTGACTCACATGTTGAAAATCTGCTTCAAAACTCACTGCAAATAGAGCTGATTTCTTTCACGGAATTTATTTTTTCCCCATACCATTTCATAATAATGATAATTATAATCACTCTATGAAAATAAAGTGCTTAAAAAGAACTCGAAGACAGCAAAAATTGTGTACGCATATAACTGATATTGCATAAGGAAAACAGAAAACAGCGACAGCAAATAATTCAGTCTAGCTTTGATTCAACAAATAATAATACGATAGATAATTTACGCACATGTTCATCTTAACGTAGTATCTCTTCGTATATACTTTTTCAATAAAACACCATATGACAGGTTTAACTAATGAGTAGATGCGTAGCTGAATATGCCTATTTATTGCGATATATATATACTGTTAAAAACAAGGCTAAAGTGGATTGAGTTTTACTCTGTAAACCTAAAAACGAAGTATTTTTCAGGTCAACTATCTTTAACACTGAATTTAAATGTGCAATTTGATAATCTTTAGGATATATGCATATAGCTCTGTACGTAAGTATGAAGCAATGCTTAAAGACCGGTATCAGAAGTAGGACTTTAAGGATTTCTTGAATCGTATCAGTTCCTTAGGCTAATAAAGGTCAATGTATGATTGTCTAAAACATCTCGCTACATCGCTTTACAGGCATTGTGTTTTTGATCAAAAGGTAAAACAAGATGGATTCTGCCTTGAAAGATATTTCAATGTACGATAATGCAATATAATGCAGTTTGGATGTCGGCACCACCAAACGTAACCTTTACGAGGGAAATCATTTTCAGGGGAGTAAGTAACCTATGTCCCTTTTTTACAGAACTAAGGACCTTGTCGAACTGCTATGCAACGGTTCTATTTTATGTTGTCCAGTGCATGCTGGAGAAGTAGTTGAGAGGGCGGACTTTGACTCACTTCAAGGCCAAGTGATCTCACGATACGGCTTTTATCTGCGTAAGCTAAATAAGCAAGGTGAAGCTTTGAACGCATCGCTAATTGTAAGTTCTCTAATGGTTCTTTAATAAAATCTACAATTTTTTGATTATCCATCCAGGAGAGTTAAGCACAGATGACAGTTTAAGCCGATGGCGCGTAAAACTCAAAAGAAAAAAGAAAATTTAATACAAAATACAATCAAACGATCGCGGTGAGATTTTTATATAATCGACACAACTATCTGTTCACATAACACAAGTCTCAGTTGCAACATTAACTGTTACATACAGTTTTTATACAAGTCGTGGGTCGCTTATAAACAAAGGAATATCTCTTGTGGCGCACTGAGCTTCTACATTACGCTTCTACATTAACGGCACAAGCAGGAATAGATGAGCAAAAAATAAAATTTTACTCTAAAATACTTCGCTCTTTGTTAAACATAGGATTATGTACATCTGTTCTGCTGAAAAAGTGAACGTGCCCACATAGTTGACATGAATTGTAGCATGGTATTATATATATTCGGTGCTTACTCTAAGTAAGTTGAATCATTGTAGGCTAGCCTCACGGGTTCGCCTTTACTGCTAATGTACGTTACACCTAACAGGAAAGAGCGATTTTGTTAACTTTGTACCTTGGCTGCGTGCTAATTACTGTTAAGAAGTTCCCTGATAAGGGGTGCCTGAGAATAGCATAGGTTGGTTTGATATGTGTTCCTTATCAGAATTTAATAAGATTCGTAAGCACAGAGTTTCAGCACGTATTTCACGCCCCACGCTGAGTGTCAACGCCCCAACAGTTGACTCAAGAAAGCGATCGCTGATTTTTTTAGCCAGAGATTTTGTCTATCCATGAATATTTGATTGGCATATATAATTTGACAAATAGATACTTGACTGGAATAAAAGTTAATGTGATCATGGGCCAACCAAAAGCTTTATGAATAATGTTTAAGGCCCGCTGTCAAATGTCCTAAATGCTGTTCGCGGATCGTCACATTTCTGCTACCGGTCGTGTTTTCTACTATAGTTTGTGACTTTTACGATAAAAACTACGATGGAGAAAATTGCTATCTATTGTATTGTGTCACTTATTACTAGTTGCAAACGCCGATAATTAAATCATTTATTGTTTTTATTAATATTTTGTACTTTTGTTTTCTATCGAAGGCGCGTCCGAACAGCTATTCTGGTTCATAACGCCTGCTCATCTAAAACAGAATTTTAGCAACGTTATTAAATTATTATCGAAAATAACCGAATAATTGGTAAAATAAAAACATTGTCAGCGTTTTTATAATCTTCTCTCCATTATAAATTTGGTCTGAAAAGTATAGTTCTATATATATATGATTTTGTTGTGCCTAGAAAGCCGTAGTGCACAACAGGTTTCACTGGTTATAATGTCGATTGCGACGTTGCCATTCTCGCCCAGCCTCTAAATCGGCTTTATTTAAAAGCAGCGGTACATAGACGTTTACTTCCTTTCTAAATTTTGATGACGGTCTAGTAGAAAATTCGTTCAGTGGCAAGCGATGGGTATCTTACTCGTTATATATTCATTGAGTATGCAAAGATAATATGTAATACCCATGACTTTGCGACTTCGAAGTAATCTTGAATGCGTTTTTACTCGTCACCAGCCCACCGAAAAGTCAGTCATGTTTCCATTGATTTCACTACTGCGTGCTAATAAGCCCAGAGAAATGCTCCGTTCTACTTCACTCTACACAAAATATGGTTATGATCCAGATTTACATCCTATCGCCCCGAATGCGTCATACATCTCTATACAAACGCCGTAAAGTGTTTGTTTAGTGTAGCAGTAGAGCATGCCGTTATTAAATAACCGGCAAAAATATATTCACAATTTGCCAGTCAGTTTTGACGCCTTTTCGAGAAAAACTAAACGAATAAGGGTATAGTCTTCGAAAACTCAGGCTGCAACTAATTACGTTTCAAGCGATCATTTTGATAACAGTATCACACTTCTCTTTCTTCGTTCCGCCATTAAAATAACATATGTTTATTTTTCTTTCAAATCATCGTTTGTTTGGGTAGTTTATAGGTAGAGAGGGTGTGTACTTAAACCGATTCACTTATTATATATCATGTGACTCGTACCTCAGACTTCAGCCATTTCTCCAGTCTTATATAGGATAAATACGAACACTAATACTACCTAGATGTACTAGGGATATCCCAAATAATGAACGTTGACTATAGCAGGTAACCTAATGCCGATCTAATATTTTTTTTCAAGTACCTTTATTAACTGTTCGTTTATTATCTTTATTAACTATATAACTATTCGTCTATATATGCGTGACTACATACACTGAAACGGATTCAAAAATATGTGTTGTTATAATCAATGTATTTCCAGTTCCAGCCAGCTGAATGTATATGATATATTAAAGCGGCTGATTAATCAACATTATTGAAAACTTTTTAATTAATCACATTCCCGATACCTTCCCGGGTATGTTTTTGGGTTAGCAGCGGCACGCGACTCTCGTAGTCCGCATTGTGGATAAGTGTATAGTGCAATTCGCTTCTTGACGCTCCATGTAAGCCCAAAGCAAGGCAACAACCTTAGGGATGTTTATGGGAGCAGCGTAGAAGGACGGGCTTCGACGCCCAAAGCGACTCGCGCGTAAACGTCCTAAAGATCCTTTTCCGCTGGAGAAGAAATAGACGTAAGCCGCCTTTCAAAACTCCAAGCCGGACAAACCGAGCGGTTTCATTAACAACGACTTTTTGAAGGTTTATCGAAAAATACGCTTTTGAAACCGTGAAGCAATTCGAACAACGGCTGCGTCTGGAACCTCACATATCGGAGCCA